GAACAAAGGCCTCCTGTAGCGAATCGATGCGTTTTTGTAAGAAAAATATCCATATTCAAAACGTAATAATCACTTTAATGTAGCTTGCGCCAACAGTCCTGCACGGAAGCTGCTCCGGGCGGATGACATATGAGGTCAGCTTTGTGCATGCGCAGCTCAGAAGTGACGCACGTGGAAGCGCAGGGGAGAGATCAAAACAAAACAACGGTCACTTATCATGCTAACTGTTCTGTCTTTGGCTGCACTGACGAGCACAGAACACTATTTAGAGTCCCAGCCTCAGAGGAGACAAGAGAGCAGTGATTTATTGATTCATTTACTGTCTGTATATTACGCTGCTGCCACACAGATCTAAAATAAACGTGATTTATTTCCCAGCTGTTTTCCTCTTCACAGTCATAACCGACTGGTTAACTTATATAAAAAACTTAGACTTTTTGTAACTTATGCGTGTTTTTTACGTAAACTTGTGTGTGAATGAGAACTTAGTTTAATACTCGCATGCTGTGTGGTGGCCACTTTCTCTGTCCGTGTGCTTCAGATGTGTGAACTCAGAAAACCGTATATCTGAAGTTTAAACTAATATGGTTTAAAACGCATGATTTCAGCGCGATAAACATGATGATCAGAACCAAAACAGATGTTTTTTAGCATGTACAAGCTGTAATGGCGGCAGCTCTATTCTAGGGACGGGGAGCAGCAGCTCATTTGCATTTAAAGAGACAGGCCCGAAATACAGCCTGTTTCCCAATAATAACCAACTGCAGAACCGCAGAACCATTACGTCACAACAGTCTGAGGCCACAGCGCCAGGCCAGCAGTCTGACGCCAGAAGTGGGCGGAATAACAGTCTCATGTCGGAAGTAGGCGGAGTTTATGACAGAAAAAATAATGGCGGATAAGAACACGGTTAAAAGGTATTTAATCTATCAAATGTATTTATTTTATGCCTTTAATCGTTTGTTGTTTAAGCAATTTATACAGAACATGTCTCCAGTCTATTTTTTGTAAATGTGCTGTGTGATGAAGTGCGTTATCGCGTCTGTTTTTAGAACTTCATCGTCTCACTTTATGGATTGTTAACTTGGCACTGTATTTTATTTCAATGGTTACGTTTTCTGATGCTGACCAATGTTTTATGCAGATTTTTTTATTTAAACAGGCATATTACGATTCAGAGGCGCTCAGCTTTACTTGGAAAAAGTTGTTGCAACAAATTCCACTGCCCAGTGTTTTTAAAAGTACCAGATGGCACAGATTGAATGCACACCTTCCAATTCACTTCAGAAAGGCAGATGTCCATAGAGGTATGAACTTTGTGAGTTATTTGATAATATACATTGGCAATAAATGGTATTTAATAGCAGTCTTTTTGTAAATTGTAGTTTGCCTGCCCAATTTGGTAAAACACACTACCTAACAGCGATATGCATTAACAAATATGGATATTATGTTTGCAGTTCAAGGCTTGCTGTTCATTGATGTTCATTTGCGTAATATTCTGAATGTTTCTTTTAATATTATGAATTTAAAAAGTAGTTTTTGCATTGTCTGGTAATTTTTGCTTTCGAACAATGAAATTTAGCTATCTTATGCAATTTTTTTATGGTTATAAATAATTTTTAAAAATCTGTTTGATTATGTTGCAGTAAATTGACAAGCAGAATCATACCGATTTCCAATGGAAGCTGATTGAAAACAAGGTTAGTTTTGTAAGGCTTTCATATTCTACTTATTCAGATGGTGTGATGTTATAGCTGTCATGACTTTTCCAGAAATAACTCAATAATATTCTTTTGTTTTAGAATGTCCACAACAGCTGGCCGGTTCTATTGATTGTGGGATCTTCATGTTGTTGGTAAGAAAAAGTTGAAAAAAAGGAGATGGCTTGGATGTGATGGATCCAGAGTGATTTTCTGAGCCCTTTTCCTCACTCTGGATGTATACAGCTCTTGGAGGGTATTATTTGTTAATAATATTCTTTTGTTTTAGAATGTCCACAACAGCTGGCCGGTTCTATTGATTGTGGGATCTTCATGTTGTTGGTAAGAAAAAGTTGAAATATATCAACTTCTCTTTTCATTAGAATGAAAAACATGAGGGCTTTTCACACATGAAATAGTTGACACTGAGTGAATGTAAACCCCAGGTAAACTGAATACTGGTTTATCTTGCTTCATGTTTCACACAGAATATAATTTACCTGGGATTGACAAATAATCCTGGGTTTTCATACGCTGCTGTTTTACACTGTACATTACTAAACATCCTTATATGCACATTTTCTGCATCAGTGTCACTGATTGGACAGACACTGCATGCGATATGATACAAAAATGCCCAAGCACTGCACATCCTCATATTACATACAGCTGACTTTACTATCAAGTTTATCCTGAATGTACTTTTTAGATTATAAAAGTAAGAAATATACAGTCTCTTCTTGACCCTGACTGTTGTGTTTTCTGTCAGCATTTGACATTTTTGACATCCTATCAAATGCTGAATTTAATTTACTGTTTTTATACAGTGCTTATTTTTGCAGTGACTGTCCAAAGCACTTGAATATGAGGCAGGCAATTGGTTGTCTGTCTATTGATAAAGGGTTAACAATGCTAAAGCCGTAGAAACCCTTCTCTGGAGTAGGCTTTCATTACACCAAGTAAAAGTGGTACTAACCCCCATTACAAGTGTGAAATGTTCTTTACTTGGGGTTAAAAGGATGTTTACACTGTACATATTTATTTATTTATGTCCCCTCCATGTGCATGTCCCTTCATACAAATATGATTTATCGTGTTAGAGAATTTTGCAGTTGAAAGGTATCTCTTTATCTCTCTCTCCTGGCCATTTTACTATAAATTAAGTTTTTTTTTTCACAGGAAACATTTGTACACTTCTCTCATGAAGAAGCCACAGATAACAGAAGACCCCTGTCTGCACTGCAGTCCGATGGCTTTGCAGCAACCAAAAGTCTTCAGAGGTTTAGTGGAAGAGCCGTGCTTTCTAAAATTGAAAGAGGAAGACCAGGAAAAAGGCCTTCTTCAGCTTTCACAGTCTGAAACGGATGATGACCGACAACTGGCCAAAGAGCCTTTAGCCTTTCGCTTCCCAATTAGGGATGATAGACTTTTTTTCTCAAGGAGTATTTGTTTTTGTATATTATGTCTTCGCTACTTAAATGGAAAAGTACATTTTATTAAAATTTTAAATATTTTGTGTTTTGATTTTTGGGTTTGATGGATCTGAATTTGCTTGCTTGAATCCTGTGTAGAATTGTGTAATGTGTATGAAAAAATTGTTCATTCTGAAATGGTTGAGTAAAAACATACATTTTATTTCAAATAAAGTGTTCAAATGCTTAAGCTTTGTTTTAATTTTTAGTGTTTTATTCTTTGTGTTCAGTATTAAGTTAAGACATAACAAAACAAGATGATAAACTTTTAACTTTAAAAATACTTAAAGGGATACAAGGGGTGTATATATATGTGTGTGTATGTATTTATGTTCACAGTGCTTAAATGTATTAGACCACCTGTCATGAGTTAATAAATAAAGAGAAAATACAAGAACAAATATTTTAAGAATCTGACAAAAAAAAAAAAAATTGTCATTTATTAGGCAAATAACAAACTGGAGTGAGGAATGTCAAATTAAATTAGCATTTTTATTGAGCCAGCACATTTAACCTCTGAAGTCAGAAATTGATCAACTTTAACATTTAACCATTCAAATATCATTTTATGTAATGACTGCAAGTAAATAACTGTAATTGGGCATCTAAATAAAAATAATAATATGCTTTATTTTTTCTGACTTGTAAAACAGTAAATGCGAAAATTCATAGATAATAATTATATTTTAGCATTAGAGTTACTACTGTGACTGAAGAGTTTACACACCGCCTACTGGTGGATTAAGTATTACAGAAACACAAAACATAATTTTGGTAATCACCGGTACTAATTTCAAATAGATCGTTTTATTTAAAGGGGTCATATGATGCGATTTCAATTTTTCCTTTCTCTTTGGAGTGTTACAAGCTCTTGGTGCATAAAGAAGATCTGTAAAGTTGCAAAGACTAAAGTCTCAAATCCAAAGAGATATTCTTTATAAAAGTTAAGAGTCAGCCACCCCTACCTAAAACGGCTCGTTCTAACACGCCCCCACATGTCTACGTCACGATGTGGGAAGATTTGCATAACGCCGCCCAAATGTTCACGCAAAGAAAGAAGGCATAACTTTTATTCTCGCTGTAGTATTGTTGTTTCCGCCGCTTTTTCAGACCGATGAGCTTTGTAAAAATTGACGCGTTTCAGAAAGGCGGGGCATAGAGGAGAAACAATAATGTACAGTATGTGGAAAATAATGTGTTTTTTGAACCTTAAACCGCATAAACACATTTCATTACACCAAATACACAAAATACTGTTCTTTTTAGCAGTATCATATGACCCCTTTAAAATACTTGGCAATATCATGGTTTTAGTCTTTGAAACGCTCCCAATGGAGCAATGCGTATTAGGATAAAATAGCTCAGCCCACTTCCGGCCTCAGACTGTTGCCCTGGCGCTGCTGTCCTCAGACAGCTGTGATGTCATAGGGTTCTGCGGTTCTGCAGTTAGACCCTTTTCCGTGTTTCTGCTTCCACTCAAAATAGGCATTTTCAAAATGATATAATAAATTATCTCTGGGGTATTTTGAGCTAAAACTTCACAGTTACATTCTGGGGACACCAGAGACTTATTACGTATTGTATTAATGTATTAGGCTAACCGAGACTTGTCATTCCTATTGTGGAATACAACAATACTAAATTCTTCAAAAACATGAGAGAAGTTCAGCTAGTAGTTCAGTTCAACTTTTTCAGTAACAAGCTACTTCATTCAACGATTAGCATGACCAAATGCTAAATCATGTTTATATTGAACTCTAAATGGTCCTCCCTCTCTCTCTTATAGCACTGGCGGTCCGATTTCATTGGAAAGTCTAATCCTAATGAATTGGTTCTTTCCAACAGACTCTCATGGCAATTTGTATCTATTTTATGTATTGGCAAATTGGTGGTGAATTCATATGATCTCCTTCATATGTTTTTTGTATAATCTGCTTATATCCCACTGAGGGTTATATTTTGGGGTGGACCTTCATGTTTTTTTTTTCATACAAATTTATATGAATTCACCACTAATTCATGGAAATCATTGAAATTCACTGATTCGACTTGGTTATGTAAATTTGAAGTTTTTTTGTATTTAGTTTAAATGTGCCTGTTTAAATTTGATCATTTGATACTGTCATTTTGATTCATTAGAGTGACAGCATATTGTACAAATATATTCACTCAGCAACACTTTATATGCCACCTCAACAACACCCATAGGAAAGGTTGATGAAAATATTTTTGTTTTTTACCTTCACAATTGAAAGCAGATATAAATAACAAGACAATCAAATATGATTATATTTTCAGCTTCAGTTGTTTTCGGTGTGCTATCTCTTCACCGTATTCTCTCTATTTCTTCTTTAACATGATGGATGGGATGAGAATTCAGAGCCCCAGGTCATAGGGATGGCTGAACCTGAAGAGTCATTTTTTCAGCTTGTTAGTCAATAGAGAACATGTATCCTCGGGATGTCTTTTTTAAAACATTATTTGAAAATTAGCTTTTTTAATGAAAACATGTATTTCCAAATCTTATTTTAGATGCAATAAAAGTGCATTCTGCACCAGAGTGACTTCTGATTAGAGGAAACCTCTTCTTCTAGATTTCATAAGTGTGGTGAAGGACAGTCTTCTACCACTGTGGAGTTGCAGTATTTCTTTTCTTTGTTTTATACCACAGGGATTCTGTACATCAAACAATGTCTATATTAAACTCAAACCACACTCTATTTCTTTCTATCTCTTCATGTTTTTGATTGATACACCCATTCCTCACAAAGATTTCACGCCCCAAAGAGTCTAAATGGGTCTGCTCCAATGGCAAACAAATCAATTGTTATAGACTTTAAAGTTGCTGGTCTTGAAAATGGTTTGAATACCTTTTTGAAGAACCAGAGAAAGATTCTCTAATCCAGCCATTTTTGGCACGTTGGATTGGTATCGACGAGCAGACCCACAATACTTGAAAAGACGTGACACATCTATCTTAAAGCTCCATAAACTGAAAATTGCTATATACTGGACTGAACCGTATGTTTCTGATGATACATGAAACATGGACCTTCACTTCTAAAGCATAATTTCCTTCAAATTTTGCTTTGCTTCAACAAAATTGATACACTTGGTTTGGATATTATCAGGCTTTTCTGTTTTCATGTGTTTTGCTTTGTATGATTCATATGAGGAATACATCACTCAGTGGAATTTATCATTTGGTTGTAATGAAGCTTCATGATTAATTAGTCACCTGCTGTGGTTTTGTTTTAATGGTGCATCCTCCAGCATTTTAAACAAAGGAAATGAATCTGAGCTTTAAAACACCTTGCGTTTGCACATTATATATTCCTTTGTTATTAAATCAGTAGATTGTGGAGTGTATCGGGCTTCTTCATCAGACTAAATTCAGTTGTATTATTTCCCCAGACATACAATCATGAGAGATTCATCATCAAGCTGAAATTTCATCACCAGACCCCTCTTTGATATATTGCTGGATCTATCCAATTGCATGTTTGTGTGTTCAAGCAGAGAGATAATCATTTGAAGGTAAATATGTTTATTATAACTTGTCTGTCATGAGGATTCAGTGCAAAGGCAAGATCAGTATGAGTACGTGGGTGTTGCATGACATTAGTGTGCTGGATATTTGTAATTTGCTGTCTATTGTTCTCATAGCACCAGAAAAAAAAAAGTATC